AGATGATCTAACATCAATTCCCGCCGTGAGTCCCTTGAATGCAATCATCAACGAAAAAGTGAAATTTTACGCTGAAAGGTGCATGCACATTTTGCCAGACCACATGGGAGACAAAAGCTCCACATATATTCTTGGACACCCTGAGCAGTTATTACAGAAGGGGTTTCTCTGTGATCAGAAAAAAAATTAAGTATCAGAGGCAGATATCTCACATCATTGTTGATGAGGCTCACTGCATCGATACGTGGGGCGACAGTTTCCGCACAGATTATCAGCGTCTTGACACGCTAAGGGCAATTCTACCAAACGCAAAAGTTGTTGCAATGACTGCAACAGCTATAAAAACAACACAGAAAAAGCATAGCAAAACACCTCAGGTTTTGTGCTAATTACTACTTAGTATCAGCATCATGTGATCGCCCAAACCTGTTTTATTCAGTGAATGAGAGACCCTCCCATAATTCTGTAAACAAAACATCAAAAGATGCTTATGGAGAGGTATTGAGGACAACATTAATGGAATTAAAGGTACAGAATTTATATCATACCACAGCAAATGAGGTGGTAATGTCTTGACAGCAAATGCAGAATAACATTTCACTTAGCAGTTAGATAGCAGTTAATAATCACATTTCATAATCATGGCAAATATGTGAATTCTATTATTACACCAATCACATACAGATCTCATTTTAAAATGACAGCAGTAAACTTTGCTGACTGACAAAATACATCTCTTATATATTATCATTAATGCACACAATAAGTAATACCGTTTTAATCATGTTCTCTTTTTAGTCACATATATCATTACTATCTTCAGATGAAACAATACATATCTTAGTTATATCATCAAGACTAATATGCAAGCAGCAACCAATTAACTGTACTGCACTAATGACATAACACCATCTTTGGTACAAAGTGAAAAATTTGGTAAATATTAATGACAAGTACCTAGATAATAAAAAAATGTGTACATGTATATGGTCTTAATACAGGACTGTTTGCATTATTAATAACATTATTCAGCAGAAAAATGAAACAGTAACTGATAAGTGAAAAATGTATCTGCAGAATTTTGTAATGATATCTGTAAATCTGGCAAATACACATTAATTTCTCCTGAATTGAATTTTGTTAGAGTATAGTTTACAAATTCTTCACAAAATACTAGGTGAGAGGCATTTTAAGAAACAAGTATATTTTTACAGTAGAAAGGAAGATCCTTCCCCAAAACAGTTCTCTTCAGCAAGCTGAAATGGTGTGGATATGGCCATGAATTGGCACTTCAAATAATGGGCGACGAAGAACTCCACTGTTACACCTCTAATAGTCAGTACACTGCCAGGCTTGGACAGTATCATGCACCGCAAGTTGATGCAGTAAGCGGTTTAAGTAGTATTTATCAATAATTTACCTCTTCTACTAATATATTTATAATTTCCCAGTATTGTCCTGAAAAGAACCAATTATGGATAATTAATAGCATTTGTAAAGACAAATGTTTTTCATGTCAAAATACGTTAACATTTTAGAATTTATGATGAAGTATCAATCATTACATATTTTTGGAAAGCAAGCCTTGCTCTCTGTAAATAATTAGTCCTTTGTTTTCAGCTGAAACAAGAACTGTCTTGTATATTCAAGTCTCCCAATAGCCATGTAAGGCTACTTTTAGCCACTGAGGCATACAGCATGGGCACTGATGCACCTGATATAAGAAGGGTTATTCACACTGGACCACCTTCAACGTTAGAAAGTAAGCAACATGGAAATACTTAAATCAATAAATTAGAAGACAATATATCTGGTTCAACAATTGGGTACTGAAAATGAACATACATTTGCATGCTTAATATGAAACAAACTCACAATCTCTCCATATTTTTTCACATTATCATAATGAAGCCATTTTCAGATTAGTTTTAGTCATTGTCATGTTGCGAAAGGCATGTTCAGTATATTATTGAGTGCTTAGTTGGGTGATGGGACAAAGCAATCATAGAGTAGAATACAATAACAGGACACCAATTAAAAATAGGACAGTATTACTCTTAGGTTTTTTGCACAGAATGATAATGATATCTGGGTTTGCAGCTTACTTGCAAGACACTGGTCGAGCTGGGCGTGATGGTGAACATGCAGAGGCAATAGTGTACATGAACACATCAGACATAGCTTCAAACGTCAAACATCTCTCAAAGGAAATGGAAGATTTCTGTACCACTAGCAAATGCAGAAGACAGACTTTGATGAATTATGTTGAATTTGAATGTGTCCAACCAGAACCAGGTCATCGTTGTTGTGACAAAAAACATGTCAGTGTGCTGAATGTATTATACACAAAGTATTCGAAACTGACTTCCATCTCTCGACTCAGGAGAGCAAAGAGCAAATTCCTGCACCAAGGAAAGCTGCTGTTAAAATGGCTTCACAGTTGTTAACTGATTATTTTGAAGCTGAAAATCAAGTTGCTGATGTACCGTTTTCAAACTTGCAAACAGGGCTTGATAAGGAACTGGGTGCCGTTCCACTAACCGATCTTAGCCCTATGCCAATCGTAAACCCCTAAAATCCCAATCTTAGCGTGACGTTACGATCGGCATACCGTTCCACTAACTAATCTTACCTAAGTCAATCGTAAAGTTAAGATCCAAAGTCTAAGTTGCTCATGACCAACTTAGGATCGCTAAAATCAATCGTAGAGAGACCAAAATGGCGACTTTCATTATTGTATGTGAAGAAGAAGAGCGAGCTTTACACCGTGAGCGAGTTTTCCGAGACCGCTCACAGATTCTAGACACATCATCGGATGACGTGCTTTTGGCGAGGTATAGAATGCCTCGTCACGCCTTGTTCATGCTGATTAACAAGGTTCAGCCACATATTATGCCAGATACTAAGCGTTCACACGCACTTTCCCCTGAAACCAAGGTGTTGACTACCCTAAGATTTCTCGGGAAGGGTGGATTTCTTGTTGAACTGGGAGACCTTAATGGTATATCCAAGTCAAGCGTATCTAGGCTGCTCCGTCCAACCATTCAGGCTATATGTGATGCGTTGGATAATATTTCCTTCGACCAGACACGGGGGAGTATCATCAGGACAAGGAGTGATTTTTTCAAACTCGCAGGATTTCCTAAGGTGATTGGTGCCATTGATGGGACTTTGATCCCGATTGCGAAGCCCCCTGCTGACGAAGAGGCTGCTTTTGTGTGCCATTAATGTGCAGGCAGTATGCGATGCATCCCTCAGGTAAGATGGTTGATGTTTTTGATGTAATGCAATAAGTAGAATTCATAAGTTTCGGTATACTGACTCGAGCGAAACACTTCCTGTTTACATTAGAAACGATCTTGACCAATGGCTATTGGTTTCCTGTCACTAACAGATGGGGCCCTCTAAGGGTTAGACTATTTGTTACCAACTCGTCATCATTTAATTATACTTAAAATCGTTAGTGAAATGAAGATTAACACAGTACACGTATATTTCTATTGATAACACGTTAGGAATTATATCAAAAATAAAATGTCATGGTGAGGCCAAAGGTCTCCTGCAAGAACAAATTATTTTCTCGTGTTTTGTACTCAGTTGGTAGAGCTAAGACTGTCGTTCCAAAATCCTCGCTTCAAATCCCATCGGGCACTGTTCATTGGCGGATCCAGAGGTGTGTGTGTGCAGGGTTCGCCCCCTTTGTTTTGAAAATGACTTAAGACCACATTGAAGATTTGTTTTGCGTTGGAGGAGCCAAAGGGGCCGAAACCACCAGCCACCCCTTTCAAAATTTGTGGATCTGCGCATGCTGATCATATATTAATGCTTTAAGTTTATTTTGTAGTTTTCCCATTCCTAATATTCCCTATTTCTTATTCTTATTACATTTTACAGTTTGATTGAAGAACTACAAATAGAAAAAAAATGTGCAGTCTTTATATTAAAAATGTACATTACTTTAACATTTCAGATTTACTAATGTTGTGGCAAGATGGCTAGGATCTGCGCATGATTCCTCCATTCTAAACAACAGTATCATTGGACAAACATTCCAACATGATTGCCCAGACGGTTTTCTCCTTGGAGATTCAGGGTACAGTAATGTTAGTTAGTGTCAGATGTATTTGTATGTATAAAAGCATGATTGGCATATAAGGTATTTTTATCTGTTACCTAATTGTCATAGTTTAACTTAATGATCATATTATAAATACATAACTTCAAACTTGATGCAACTCTTTTTCTAATAGCCATATTAATATTTCAATTATGTTTTGACAAAGATATGGGTGTCGACCATGGTTGTTGACCCCCCTGGCAGATCCAAGCACCCCGGCTCAGCAGAGATACCAATCAGCACACTGCAAGACAAGAAATGTGGTAGAGAGGGCTTTTGGTGTCCTGAAATCACGATTCAGGTTGGTTTCATAACAACAAATATAAACTTGCAGTCATTATCAAAAATAAAAGCTTCGTCAAATTAAAATGATTTTCATGAAATTAATTTTACTGAACAGTTAGGTAAAATTGAGAATAATTCATGAAAGAAGTTGATTTGGATTATGAAGTGTTGTAGTAGTGTTAATATGTTTGCAGGTGTTTGCACAAAAGCACTGGATACCTGCCCTTCTCTACCAAGAAATGCTGCAAAGTAATTTTGTCGTGTTTCTACTTACACAACTTCTGCATAGACCTGCGCCTACCCCGACCAGAACCCATGGAGGAAGACAACACAGATGACCCCTACCAAGGAGCGGTCAATGACGGCCACCAAGTCCGACAACACCTCATTGATCATTTTTTCACAGCATGAACATGGTGAGAAGTAGCATATTCACTTTAAAAAGGAATTACTAGTATATGTTACCTTCAACCATAAACAATGAATACAGGATAAAATCTCAGTTTTGTTTATTTTATACATGCACACCATTAAATATTGTTCAACTGCAGGAATGCATCAAATAGTACATCAATTGTTTTTTGCTAAATTTTGTCACAATATTAAAAATAAGCCGCATTCTTTAATCAAAACTTATCACAGGTGTGATGAAATTTTCAACATTGGAATTGTACATCCTCTCCTTTAGCTCAAGACGCTGCCGGTCAAGTGCCAGTCTGTCCCTCTCTAGTGCTAGTCTCTCCCTCTCCACGGCCAGCCTCTGTGTCTCCACACTAAGCAGCTGTTGCAGCACCTCCAACTTTGACTCCTCTACCTTCACCAGACCCTGCACATGGCTTGTGGATCCGCTTCTGGGGGTTACTGTAGAGGCTGATGTTGCTACAGCTGAGGATATTGACATCGCTGTGCTTGTTGCTATCTTTTGGGATGGGGGGATCACAGCACTTGCCACTGATGTTGTGGATGTACTTCCCGCATTAACTGATTCCACTGTTCTTAGTGCTAAAACATTGAACAAAAAGATGTTGAAAATGTTTAAATTCTTTACAACAAAACTTTACTTCAAATCTCATGAAATCATTGATATTTATTGTCTATGAAATTTGACACATTATGGGGTGTAAGAATACACAGACTTTCAATTACTATATCTGGATATGAAAATGTAAAACATCCTTGGTGTTCACAATTTCTCATTATATATACACTGTTTTGATAAATATGTACCTGCAGCACTTTCCCGAGGGAGACATGCTTCAACTGTTGGAGGTTGATCTTCTATAAACAAAGTACATACAGGAGCATCATTATTTGATTAATTAATCAAAAATAGGTACAGATAATAAATCCCTTGATAAACAGTTACTTAAAATTACAGTTATACTCAAAATCTAATTCATATATCTTCATTGTTATGACCACTGGTTTTGGTGAAAAGGTGTCAAATTAAATTATAATTACCAGTACAAAGTGGAGTTTCAATTCCACCATCAATTCCCTCAACCTGACAAATAGGAATGGTTGAGAGCACCTGAAAACATGAATTTGAACATTTGAAGAAAACTATAATTTCACATAAGAAATAAATTTGTGGTACATGTAATAAATGGCACTTTTGATATTCAAATGAATCATCTATTTAACCTCACCAGGTAATATACAACTTGTAATAATAATATTTTATGCAACTAATTTTCTCTTGTCACAACTAAAAATACTACTCAACGAAATAGATTTATGATAAGGAAAATTAAATTTCATCTTCCATTTATTATATCTGTGAAGTAAACATTTCATACCTTTTCATCCAGCTCATTGAGCATAACAGCAGAGGGACCACCGCCAGTCTTACAGGCCTCCTTTTTCATGAGCTGAGCTCTTTTTTTTACCTGGCATCTGAAATCAAATATTTCATATAGTCTTTTGGCCACATACTCATTACAGGTTCTGAATTTTAGGGAACCTAGTTCATCACTTTGGTATAGAGACAATGTGATATACAATTTACATCAGATGAAAGAATTTCCTTCTGGAAAAAATGATCATGTACATAAAATTTTCATCATACAATTTTCATGTACGTCTTCAATCACTCTAGTCTCTTTCATTTACAGAATAACACTTTTGATCTGTAAATATTGAATACATGTACACTGATATCATTTGTGACAGTCAGATGAGTTGGTTGGGTAAGTGTAAAATCATAATGAATCTTGAGGTGATAGATAATTTCAATTGTTGGTTGAATGTATTATTTTCAAGGTTAATCTATTCAAAGAAAAAAACAAAAGGAATTTTTACCTTATGTCATTCCACTTCTTGCGGACTTCACACGCCGATCTCACACCAGCTGTGTTGGCACTTATTCTGAAATATTAGTATAGTATAGCATCCAATATACTTATCATAAAATAATTATCTGTTTGCCATAATATCAAATTCTTTGAAGAATATGTCAATGATATATATTTCAATCATCATTTCATTATAGTCCATGTCATTGTTCTTGCTTCCACATGACTTCAGAAAATGGGTTATGAAACTTAAATAAAAACCTTAATTATATTCACTTGTCCATTTTGATTGTTGTACATGGCTCCAAGTTGGCTGTTTTCATTAATAATTTATGAAATTTATGAATTAAAATCTAAAATATATATTGTGTTGATACTTAGTTCAATGGCTATAAACCTGTTTAAGAAATGAGTCTGAAAGACAAATTATAAGTAGAAGTGCTTTTAAATTCACTGCAGACTCAAATCCCAATTCATAGTTTTAGTTTTAGCCCTGTACATATCTTACTTTCTTCCATTTTTATTATCAGTTACATGTAATTTCTTTTAGCAAACTTATGTGATCACTTACCATCTGATATTTCAAGTTGAAGAAAAGTGTCCATCTTACCGTTACCCAGAGACGTTATACGTCTTTGCGTTACCGAATGTGGAATGCGGAAGTAAAGTAGGTAATGATTGGGATGTTTACAAGCGATAGTTACCTGCCTAATTTACCGGTGCAAATAGAATATGTTCCTTATGAAAAAACGCTAAACATTAGGGATGCATATTAACGAAATACCACCGTAACAATGGTACTGTAATATGTAAAAGGAATATATAAACATGTTGAAAACACGGACAAGCACTTACTTTGAAGCTATCTTCTCACACATAGAATCTTTAGATTTCTTCGTCACTCCGGGTCCGAAAGAAGCCGATAAAAGGGAGTGATGGTGGACCCCTTCGTCAATAAGAATGGCTACTTCCTCAGGAGAAAAATTGCTTTTTCTCCCTCGAGGTTTCTTCTCCGCGATCACAGTTGGTTCTAAAGCAACTTCCATCGTCTGCTAGGCTAACGAAAGGGAGATAACTCGTGCCTCGCATTTTTCTATCTCTCGCACGAAAGAGTCTCGATCTTAGCTAGGATCGGATCGTAAGATCGGGACCGGCTACGATCGGCCTAAAATCGGTTAGTGGAACGGGTGTAACTTTTAGCTAAGACGATTGTAAAATTGGCGTAACTTGCTAAGATTGATCTTAGTTAAGATCGGTTAGTGGAACGGGGCCCTGGCCTCCAAAATATCAGCTGACTATAACAGATTTAGCAATGTGGACATTCTTAAGTCAGTGTTCAAAGACATTGATCTTGCCTATTTAGACAATATTGCATGTCTTCTCAAATATGTGGTTCAACATTATCATTCCTCATGAATATGTCATATGTATTGTATACAATATACTATAAAGATACAATAGTTTTGATGACAGTACACAAAATTGAGATGGTTAAGATTAACAAGCTATCATCTTATAAAAAGAGTATTTATAAGATCAGTTAACAATAGTCAAGGGGAGATAACTAGGGCTGCAGCAAATCTTCTATGAAGAAAATATGATACATGCCACAAGTATTGAGCCATGAATCCAATAACATGTCATCAGTTGATGGATTATTTAAAGTATTCAGTGAAACAATAACAAAGTATATTCTTTGACGTGTGTTGTCCATGTTGACACAGTGTTTCTTTGAGAGGCATTTAGATGATTGGTAAGAACATTTTAAATATTCTCATCATGCGATCACGATTTGGAAGATGACATGCATCACGAAAATTCAGATACAGGAGTCCAAGATCAATGACAAGACTACTGTAATTCATAACATAATCTTCTTGTGGTGGCATGAATGTTCCCTCTGGACTATACACTGGGAGATTCTTTTGAGTGCCAAGGTTACTGGCAAAAGTTGGATGATGTCCCTCCTTCCCACAATAACCTGTTGTTTACATGATTTGCCACGACATGTAGATAGTACATTTTCCTCTACGAGGTCACCCACTGTATTCCTCACCCAGGCCTTCCTCTCACTTTCATTTGAAAAATGGTGGTGGTAGATGTTTGGTTGGTGTTCCATCTGAAGACCCCATGCCAAAGAAACAGAGCAAGAGGGCTACAATGTAGTTCTTGACAAAGGAGATGAAGTAGGCTTGATCAGCATCATATGCCTTTCGAACATTTTTGCGACAATACGCTGCTCCTCAGACTTCATTGTTCCCAATTCATTTGAGGAGCCTTCATTATATAGATACCTGAAAGCAATCTGTTCAAGGAAGTTCATGTCCAGATCAAATAGCTCGAATGAGGTTGGACCAAGATGGTCAAATCGTTCATGTGCAAGTAAATTGCCAATCCTGAAACGTTTTGCATGACTGAAGCGCTCTCTTGTCAGTTGATCCCCACCAATGTGAACTTTCACACTACCATCTACTGGAAGCCCAGCAGAAGTGTAAATTTCTTTGATGGTGTTTTCATAGTAAGCAAGAATCTTGACATCATCAGCATAGGACTGCTCATTATAAGGCAAAACTGGCAAGGCAATGACTTCAATCTTTCTTTTTAACTGCTCACTTTGAGGGCCAAGTAAGAAAGATGGAACACACTTCCCCATGAATGCTAGAGAAGGGATGTGCTCACTGGCAATGTCACACACTAATTTAATGTATTCATCTTTCACAACATCAAGCTCTGTGTTTGAGATAAGGACATCATTCACTAGAAGATTGTCAATGCTCTTCTGTGGGACATTTTGCAGCATGGAAGTGTCAACCTGTGTCTGTAAAATGATAGCCGAGGCAAACATGTGATGATTATTGCTCTGCCTGTCTTTTCTCATGTCCTGAACATCGACATGAAAATTTAAATTGTCGCCAATGATGCGAAACCTGCGTCCCTCACTGACAGCCTGTATGACCAGGTCATTGAAATGTCCTCCAGCCTCATTCAACAGAAAAAGGCTCCTGCCATAACTGAGAGACACACCAATTTGCTGTAGCCGATCAAAGACCTGAAAAGAAGGAATTGGATTCTGTAAATTTATGCATACATTCGCATGACATATACTGTGGTAAAACAAAAGTGATCACATGAAAGCACAAGTGATCCTTTAATTTTTTTTCAAGGTTTCTTCACAAACTTTGTATTGCATTACGTTTGAATAAAGATGGAAAAAAGTAAAGGAACACTTGTGCTTTCGTGTGATCCCTTATTTGTTTCCCTCACTTTACACTGATTTGCACATATGAAGCAAATTATCAAGAGGTCTATTCCGAGAGACATATTTCCTTTTTATCAGTACACAAACGCTTTTTCTGTTATCATCTTGATTGAAAAAATATATGATTTACCTTTTGTTCGCAGGCACTGTCATGAAGGCACATTGTCATGATCCTCTGCACCCTGCTCAGTTCATGATGCCGAGCCTGTACTAGGATACTGTAAGCCATTCCTATTTTTTGGCAACAGTGTTTCCAACTTCTCCGGGGTTACACCACCATGTCCAACACTGACTGTTATCATCATATTCAGCAATTCAGGAACTTTGACAGCAATTTCTTCCACAACAGTTTGCCATTTGAAATCAGGAAGATTCTTATAGTCTTTGGCCATAAGTTCAGACACATAGCCATGTTCAACATTCCTGCGGTTCAACTCTGAAACACTATGGTCTACCTTTTGAAGAAAATGTTTTTCTATGGCTGATTTCAAATGTGGAATCTTCATCATTGCTTCAGCAGCAGAGAAACCTGAGAAGGAATTGATAGCTTCTGTCAAAAGATAGATATCAGAGCAAGTCAAACTCTGTCTCAAGGAGGCATCACAGTTTATAAGAGAATTGGCAAGCAACTGACTGGAGCCTAAAGTTCTGGACATATTGGGTGATGTGTTCTTGGTAGTAATCTTGCAATTCTTCCCAGCTGTTTCAGAGTTATCTGGATCTTTGAAGTATGTATGATCATGATAATCACGCTTTGTTGTGCTGAAATTACCTTGATAGCCTACTTCATCAATGAATGGCACCTTATCGGGATCAGAAGCCCCTGACAGTGAGGATGATGTATGTTCCTCAGCAGACATAATTAGTCGTCTCTACTTTTCTGTGGTCAGAAATCTTGGTTTCATTGGACACTGAAGGAGTCAGGGGTGAGGGTGCACATCTGTGAGCAAGAACACGGATATTATTATATTGTGATTCCAGGCGATGACATGTTATTTCATAGCTATAATGATTAAATATTGTAGGTTGTGCATGATTGATTAACTGCTTAGACCACTGAGGTCAAATTATCTTATTTTAGGATTTGGCACTGTTCAAACCAACTGCAAATAATAGGTTAAATATGCATTCAGGCTCAGCCCCACAGAATGTGCAATTAGTCTCAACAATGTGCATTTTATTCAGGTATGTTTTGACTAGAAAGATTCTGTGAAGCAGGCTGAATTGCACCCGTCTTAGTATCATGAGTGGTTTTATAGGGTTTTATGAAAATATCATTCCAATTGTGATGATGTGTGTTCCCGTGCATAGAGCTCAGGTCATAATTCAGGTGAACTTAAGCAACATTTGATAATAGCAATTTTTCCTTTAGGAGTTACAGTTCTTTTTATCCATTGTTTAGTTATATTTCACAAATTCTATAAATCTTATTTTCAGAATTGATTTTAATGATTTGGTTAATATCAACCTAAAACATGCTACTCCAAATCCAGAAACTACTGGGTTCCAAGGTAGGTTTAAAACTGATCTGGTTTTAACATTACAATTGCTACAACTTCCTATCCCAACAATTTCTAATATACTGAGTCAAAAAAGAAACTTCACAAAATGTAATTTGGAAAATAATGAATAAATTTTCTCTGATGATACATCTATGTATCCGAAATGGGATCCCTATCGTTCGACTCTAGAAAAACGTTAGCAAAACCCACTCAAACCCATCCATTCGTCGTGCAAATGACGTTAGTGCCAAATCAGTTTTGCACGTGCAGTCGATCACGTGATCTTCACATCGAAGTTTTCTTCATATGCACGTGTTTGCATTGGCCTCAAGAATTGAAAAAAACACTTTTAAACCTCAGTTCTAACGGTACTTGAAATGCCACGATTGTCAAATGTGCAACGTGAACGTGCCGTTGGCATGTTGCAAGCGGGAAGATCAGTTATTGACGTCGCAAGAACAATGGGATGCAGCCGTCGTACTGTGTATGACTTGCGAGGTCGTCTACAACAAACTGGCACCACTTCTGATCGCCCAAGGTCGGGTCGTCCACGTGTAACGTCACGAGCAGAAGACCGTCAAATCGTCCTACGTCACCTACGTGACAGATTTCTGCCGGCTACACGAACCAGGGCTGAGATGTTTAGAGGTCGACTGTCATCACAGACCATTCGAAATCGGTTGCGGGCTGCCAATCTCCATTCTTGACGTCCATATCGTGGACCAATATTGACGCCGTTTCATCAACGTCAACGTCTGCTGTGGGCCCAACGTCACCTCCGATGGACCCAGAGAGACTGGAATCGAGTCGTCTTTAGCGATGAATCCAGGTATACCCTCAGATATGCGGACGGCAGGCATGGAGACGAGGGCAGGCATAGAGTCTGGAGACGACGTGGTGAACGGTATGCCCAATGTTGTGAACAGGAAGTCGACAGATTCGGGGGCGGGAGTTGCATGGTGTGGGGTGCTTTCTGTGGGAACACCCGTTCCCGACTTCTGGTCATCCGTGGAAACCTCACAGCTGTTCCTTTCATGGCGGCTCATGGCCCAGGTCTACAGTTCCAGCATGATAATGCTCGGCCGCATACCGCGATGTTGACACGAAATTTCCTTCAAAACGCTGGAATCAACGTCATGGACTGGCCATCGAGGTCCCCAAACCTTAATCTAATAGAGCAGGTTTGGGATGCACCTTGGGAGAAGGCTTCGTGGTATTAGGAAACAACCTCAGAATTTGCAGGAACTTGGCCCTGCCTTGCAAGAGCAATGGCGCGGAATCCCCAACCACGTGTTCACAAGCATCAGGCAGTGGATGAGGAGACGGTGTTTGGCAGTGGTGAATGCTCGGGGCGGCCATACACGATATTGAACTGA